TGTGCTGTTCTTTAATGCATCATAACTAATGACATTTACTTCTGCACCTTAATCTAACATAAAAACTTCCGAATTTTTCTGTAATGTTTTGTAACGTAACTTAACTGTTGGCATATTTCTTATTAATCGTGTTTTAAAAGCTTTGTAGATTCCATTTAGCATTATTTATTTTGGAATCATGATCGGATTTTAACCTGTGCTCATGCCCAATCGGCCAGTCTCGTTTTCATTTTTTGGAGAGTTAGGGCGAGACTCTCGGTATCATTCTTGATTATAATTTGGATATTCCTTCTTGTTGTAGTAGAAAAGTGGGGCTGCTTATAATAAGGATAGCATTGAGTATCAGGATCAGGATAATACATTTGTGGGTAGTAAGTTGGATAAAAAGGTGGTGGTTTAAAATATAAAAATTTTTGGAAATTTGAAGGGTTGTAATAGTGATAAGGTTGATAACTTTAGGATCCTGGAAGTGTACTACCCCCTAGAAGTGTGCTTGATTGACATTGAGGTGCGTAGCTAAGTGCAAGATGTACAATTTTTCGACCATACTTATTAAATTTTTGTTAAGTCATTTTCATATCATTTTTATCGTAAGTATGCAGAAAAGAATTTATATTGTGGGTCAATAGGTTATTAAAGGTGACGTGTTTTTTTGGTGGTCAAATTGAGTAGGGACAAAAACATAAACTTCGGTAACGTTCGGTACCAAAGATTCAGGAATCATACAATTAAAGGTCTTGGGTACGAGCTTGTCAACGTACTTGGCCTGATTGTATACTGGTGGGAAAGTGCAATTAGTAACTAAAGCAGCTTCTAAAACTTCATGGACATTTTAATATTTCGAAAGTGCTATGCTTAATTTTTACGAGTCAGGTAAACTATCAATAAACGTTTTTAGTACCAATTTTTCAAGCTGTAGTTTTTGTCGTTTTGAGGTTGTTATCACTCCATTTAGTCAATAGAACTATTGAAGTAATTTCTGTGAGACAAATTTTCTATGATAAAAATTCTGCTTCGCTTTGTTTGATTGTCATATTAAAAAGTTCTGCCATGTATTTATTATACGATTTAGTTGGTGAGAATTTTTGTTTCAGATGTTTTTTTAACTGATAGATTAATGCAACTGTAAACCTATTAAACTTTCTTGAGCTTTGCCTCTAAGTATATAAATAACTATGCGAAGGTACATAGGTTCTTGAGCAGCTGTTATTATAGTTTGTCCATTTTCCACGTCCTATAAGAAGTATTTTAAGTCAGCCAAGTATCCGTTATAAAAGAGCATGTATTAAGACGTTTTGTTAATGAACATGATTTAATTAGTTGCATTTAATCCTTGTTAAACGTTGAAAGCTGTTGTTTAATAGAGTCATTTTCTGATCAGTTTTCTTCACTATTTGCGGCCATTTTTTTCTTATTTATATATAGACTATTTATTTAAATGCATTTTTTTTTAACAAACCTAAGAACTGAAAAACACACAAGGGATGCCGATTTGTAATGACCAGGCTTATTTAGAGAACTGTCTTAATTATTATCACAAAAATAAAAGGCGTACAAGGTTTTTGGCGTGCTTGTGCTCACAATCACGGTCTTCTGTACTCACGGCTATTTAACTATGTACTAGGCTTTGCAAGCATTTATGCAGAACTTCTAATATATCAGATGGTATGCGAGAGCGTCAAAGACCGTGTGAGAGCGTCTGAAAGCTTGCAGCAACTTATGCAACTCCTCGAAAAGTTACTGACAATTGCGAGTGCATTTAAGGTTGCACGAGTGAGTCTCAAGGGTCCGAGGAGTGCATAGGCACGTCCGCATATCTGAAGAATGTCGCTTGTATGGCTAAGATGTTTGAGAGTTCGAGTTGAGTGTTGCAATATTATTCAATACTAGACTTCATACTACGCTGCATTCGTTGTCTATGGCCATTACCATGCAATCAGTTTAGAAGTATGAAACTAATGGCATAAGCTGGTTGCAGTATAAAAATTCTAAAATCTACTAACATTATTTACGTTGCATGTTATATCTGGTCTCATACCTTGTAATGTTGTACCCGTTCAGTTTAACACACCTACACTACTAGCCCGAGTACAATGCCACAGGTACTGCTGTGCGGCTTCGGCCTCTTTTAATATCGGTGCTTTTCCCTCTACCTTTCGTCTTAAGCTTTTAACTGGTCGAGGTTGCCTACCAAAATTAAAAAAAGCTGGTGAGAACTTATTGGACGCCTGCATAACCGTCTTTACTGCATGTTAAAACTCATATAAATGCAAGTCCCAAGAACGTTGATCAGCCTCTACGAACATGGCTATCATCGTCTTTAACGTCCTATTAACCTTCTCCACGGGATTCGACTAAGGGTGATAAGGAGGTGTAGTCACATGAGCCACTTCATACTTAACTAATACCTCCTCTAGCCACTTATTACAGAACTCTTTCCCATTATCGGTCAATAAACACTCTGGCATTTTCCAACAGAACAGTACAAGTTTCTGGAACGCAGTGGCAATACTTTTCACGTTAGCCTTACACAATGGCTTCAGTTCTATCCAACGGGTAAACAGATCCTGAAAAACCACAATGTATTTGTACTGGCTCTTACTAGGAGGCAGCTCCATCACATCAGCAGCCACTACCGTCCAAGGGCGTTCCACTATGCTCGAGCCCATTAAGCTCTCGGGTCCAGTCTGTGAAATTGTATACTTCTGAAACACTGGACATTGCTGAACGAACGCGTGAATGTCGTTCCACATGCCGGGCCAGAAGTACTCTTTAGCCACTCGGTCATACGTCTTTTCTAACCCAAAGTGTCCTATACTAGTGAGGTTATGGGCATCGGTCAAAATTGCTTCCCGCTTCTCGAGGGAAATTACCAGGCTCCAATCGTCATTCCTGTAAGTTATGGGATCCAATAACTGATCGGCTTTGAACTTATACAACGAGCCGTTTTCAGCCCGCCAAGTCGTATACTTCTGAGGGTCCATTTGGACTTCAGCCAACCTTTTAATAAACCAGGGATCTGTGATTTCTTTAAAGGCCATGGTCTCTTCCGCCCCCTCGTACATATGTGACAAGACATCAAGGACATGATGAGAAGCACCTTTGTGGTGCATAATCTCAAAATCCCATTGCTGCAGCTTAAGAGCCCAACGAGCTAATCGGTCTGCTAGTATAAGCCCTTGTTTTTTTGGATGACTAAAGGGATTGGTATCCCGAAGGCTACTTGAAATTATGGATTGTTAAATCTGGCTAATCAAACTGGCTTGGCTAAATTCATTTAAATTTTGGTGGCTATGATAGTAAACGAACAACGAAAGGTCTGTAATAGTGCTAAGCACAACTATTTTGATTGTCGTAAAACTTTACTGTGAAGTAGAATAAGTGTGTGACTAAGTTACATGTTTAGTTTCAAAAACAAAGGGGCTTTATTAAGTATGAATAAATGATAAAATTTTTGTTTTGTTCTAATTGACTAACCATGACATGAATATGATTAGGTTTTTCAACTATAACAGCGTAATACAATGTGACATCTATTTTTTGATTCAGGAAATATAAATCCTAGGATATAGGGAAATTCTGAAACAAGATTGCGTAAACAATTGATTCTATCGATTCCACGTAGTAATAATAACGTAAAAATTATGCTAGGATGTTGTCGTAGATTTATGTGTTTACGGCATTTATTTTTTTAAGAACAGAATAAAATTTACAAAAAAGTTCGGAGTTAACTTTATAACAAATAAACGACGGAGTCAAAAGAATTTTCTGAATTATTTTATCTCTTGCTTAATCACTTCTGCAGATGACTTACTGTTTTTGTTTGGACTTTTTATGTCATAAAATTCGTGCTGCTTGAGACTGAATTACGCGCACTTTTAGAAGCATTTTTTTAACTGCTATTTATAAATTTGAATTTTGATTTCGTTTATGCCTCTGTGGATTTATTTCTGTATCTCTTTGTTAAAAAACATCTATTTTTGCATTTTTTCGAACTTTAACAACTTATATCTCGTAAAGTATTAACTTTAAAAAAAAGTTGCAAGAAACTTTTTTTGTTTATAACCCAAAGATGATAAAAAAAATTTTTTAGTAAAAATTAACAATTTGAAAAATTTGTTTCAAAAAATTCCTTAATCAATTTAGGACTGACTTTCGGACCTGGCAACATACAAATTTGTTTTTTGAAGATAATGTCGTATAATATATTGCAAAAAAATTAAATCCAAATATTATATATAAGTAAAACATGTATCTGATAGTAACAGCATGTCCAGGCCACTTACGTGCCCCTATTAGTGAATTTCCAAGCCAATAGCTCTTAAGATAATGAAACAACATTTATGAAAAAGTATAAGGTAATATTACTGGCAGTAGGTTATTAAGTCGAGGCCAAAATCATCATACGCAATAAACAATTACAACGTTGAAAAAGAAGATTGTGTTCTGTCGCAGAGGTGGCTTAGCTCGACTAACAAAGCCAGCGCCCATGTATAAGAATACGATGTACAACTAATGACACAATATTGCACCTAAGAATTCAAAAAATACAGCAACTCTCGGTGATGGCAGTGGCTCAGTGGTTAGCGTAATGACGTGCCAATCCCTTGTTGATTGGCTTAAGTCCCAGCTCTGCTTGTTGGGTGGAGCTACTTACTGCAGTAACGTGTCTCCTTTCTTTATTTAATAGACTTAAATTATTTGCTTCTGATATACATGAGAATTTCCGAAGCTTTTGCCGTAAGAGTTGTACACAAAAATCGTATGTAGGCTTTGCTTATGAACAGTCATGAGAACAGAAGTTTTTTGTGATTGTTTTGCAGTGAATAAAAAAATAAAATGAATAGAAAAAGACTATTAATAATCTTATTTACAATAAACTTACAATTAGTACTGTTTCCGTACATCCGTATAGTAAACTTTTCAATTTATGCTTACAGCAAAGACAGCAAAAGCGAAAAATGTATAGCATATGCTTCATTGGAAAATATGTTGAAAGAGTTAAATTGTATAAATAAGAATTATTTTATCTGCGAGCCATCTAGCATTATTAAGTACAGCAATAAAAAAAATCATTGGATGTCAATAAAAGACAGGTGAGACATTTATCTTGATATCTTTAAAAACAAATTAAACATGAATGCTTTGTTTTTCATTGAGATTAAATATTTTTATATTTTTTGATGCACTTTTATTCAGGTATCCTTGCACACATCTCTTTGTATTCCATAGTAGTAGAACTTGGACTTTAAATCTTTGCATCAAATCAATCTCTGTCATCTCAAAAAAACTTTCAGAGTAATAAACTTCTTAATTTAAGTATAGGCATTTAAAAGTGCTGAGTAATAAATGGCAGGTGTTTACTGGTAAACCAAGATAAGACTTATGCGTAAACTCTCTGGACACACACAAATATCTATGATTAAAAAAAAAAGTTTATCATAGTTGTAATCACGCAAAGATAAAAATGAATTTCACTTAATAATAATTTTTCCAGTACTTGAAAGAAGAAAAAAACTGGTAAAATATATAAACACCAAGAATTATATAAAAACAGAATCGAAAGACATTTTCATGTGCAAAAGCAAAGCCAAACGGAATGTATAATGACATTATATCGCACTACGTAGGAGATTAAACAAATTATTCTTTGAGAATAAAAAAACAGCTTTTAAAATAGATGTACAGAAGTAAAAGTTATGGCCTCACAAGCTATGCAAATACCTTTAACGGAACAAGAAAGTGTTTAATGGTTGTAACATTAAATCTTTTTACCCGTCTAAATGCCGGGTATTTATGGAAGAAAAGATAAATAAGGTTCATCAAATTTGTTAATTCGATAAGTACAACAATGTACAGTGACATGAGTTTAATATGAGCTATTCCTAAATTCACTTAAAGTAAAAAAAAGTCATTGTTAAAATAAGTTTTGAAATTATAATTCTGTTGCCACATTAAACGTCAGAGTATATCAATAATTTGTATTTCTGACATTAAGAGAAAGCGTGACGGAATTAAATTATGCATGTTATTCCTTCGCCAGGCCCCCCTTGCTCTTCCATCCCACACCGGTCCCCTCCATAACAAACAATGCCACGCGACTACACAACAAAGAGACTCCCAACAAAATAATATACTAACAAGGGCACTGTGAAGCAGTCCAACGCACGTATTTTGCCAGAGGAACCTGAATACAATTGTGTATACCAAAGATAGAAAAAGTGTAATAGAGTGTAACCGCTAGCCTCGGTGGCTGCCAGCTTAGTCGACTCTCAACAATATAATGCTCTTACTGGGGGCACTATAAATCGCTCTGATGCACTGATGCACGTAATTGCCAGAAAGGGTTATGTATGGTTCCGTGTACCGAGGCCCGAAGCATAATACTATAGCCTAACGCGTAACCGCTACACTTGGTAACTGCCCATTTAGTTAACTTCCAACAAAATAATGCGGTTACAAAGGCACTGTGGAGCGCTTCAACGCATATATTTTTCCAGAGTAGCCTAAATACGGTACTGTGGATCCAATATAGAGAGAAAAAATCATTAAAAGGAAAAGTACTATTTTAATGATTGTACAACATAACAAAACCAGTGCTATTCTTTCAGAGCCTCTAAAATTTTCATGTTACGTCGGCGTAACAGGTTATTTGAATTCAAGCTGATGCTTAATAATTCAGGACTAACACTAAGCACGTAAGTGGGATGTAGGGCCAAAAAATAGTTAAAAAACGTAGTGGGTTACTTGAAAAGTGGGTATGAATGCTTAAGAGCCAAGGGAACTTAGTTGTCATGTCTTGGAGCGGTTGTTGTACTGTATCCCGATGCACTTACTTGCGGCGTGTCTAGGAGTTGTCAAAATTACCTGAAGTGGCTGATCAAAGGCATCTCGTTTGCAATCTAAAAGCTACCAATACCACCACGAGTAAAGGTATTGTTCTACAGCATACGTGAGGAGAAAGTTCTGATTTAGTTCGTAACCTGTCGAACAGCTACTAATACTGTCAGAAGTAATGTGATTTGTTCGAGATTTCACGTATGGAACAGTCATTTTTTTTCCGTGGTTCAGAGGCTATCAATATCGTAATGAGTAATGATGACATAAGCACTAGAAATGATGTCTGGCTCAGAACCAATAATAAAAAAAGGTTTAAGCAGCTTAATAATTTTTAACAACTTACTTTTATTTTTTTTAATTAGAGCTAGGATAGACGTAGTGAGCCTGCCCTAAGTGCACGATACCAAAGCTGAACACTCATGAAGGACCTATAACATAGAAGCACTCCAGCTACTTAGTCTACAATTCGAGGGTAGAAATACACTGTGTTCTGTACAAGTGGTAGACTAGAGGGTAACAAAGGCGGACTTTAACTACTCAGTATACTGTTTGAAAATTGATTATTAGGTAAAAAATTTTAGATTCTCGGGGCGTGATTATATGGATTATCAGACCTTGGTCACATTCCAGTGCTCTAGTTCAGCCACTCAAAAATTAATACTTATGACATCTGGCTTGCTTTTGTACATGTCAATCAACAGGAAGGTGTTTCACTGACTACTGCCCTTCCTTTCTCTTGAATATTAAAATTTTGCAGAGACATATTGCAACTTAATGTTACTATTAGAATATAATATTATTAATATTAACTTATGATTCACTCTGTTTATTTATTCGGATAAACTTGTTAAAAAGAGCAGTAAAAATTGCTTAACAATTCAATTTAATGCTCGTGTAACTAAAGGGTCAGCCTGTTATGGTATATTAATCTCTTAGAAGAATTAGCGATAATCGTTGCTATAACTAATCATTATAATATTAGAAAAAGGGATAGTAGTAAAAGTAGAAGTAGTACTAAGTAAAATAGATAGTGGTAGTAGAAGTAATACTATTTTTTAAAGTTATACTTCTATTGGCGCGTTCTACCCTACGGGTGAATCAACGATTACAGATTAGTGACCTTGAGAAAAAGTGTAACGGAAGTAGATTTTGCTTTGATTTTTCCCCTTTACCCCACTCCTTAACGTAATTCCGGTCCCCTGTACTACACCACAGAATGTCATAGCACCATACCACACAACATTATCCCACCACACCAAACCACACTTTTAAAATTTTTCTTATTTTTTTTTTCTCAATTTTTTACAAAAAAATAAAAAATAGTTTTTAAAGAAATTCAAACCCCCCGTCCTCTTACACACTGGGCAAGCTCCTAGTCACTCTGCTGTGAGCAAGCTCAACAATGGAAAACTGGTAACTTCTCTACGAACTGTAACATATTTCTGATATAAATTTTTATTAATTTTTGGTTTGATTATACGTTAAATAAATAAATTATTGGTACGTATATAGTATTTTTGGTTTAATTACTTATTGAATAAATGAATAATTTATTTAATATAACATATATTTTGATACCCACTTTTTTCCAAAATTTGGAAACCAGTAGATATAACCAGAACAGCTTTCATATGTAATGATAAACATTTATTTACTTTTTATTAATTTGTTTCTCTTGAAACAAGTAAATGATTGTTCATAGAATTTTTCACATTCTTCTATAATTTTCATATTGAAAAATACACTAAATTGATTTGTATGGCGTTTTCTTCTTTCACAAAATTTTCTTTGTGATTGGGAACGAAATTCCATAAAGTGAGAGGAGCGCGAACATATGCAACACCACTGGAAATTATTTTTCTCATATGAATCAGCTTACATACACACTTTGACGATTACTTGATTCCTTCTATCTTGTGTTATTAAACAAAAAAAATATAGATCTATTTAAAAATAAGACAGGCTTATCTAAAAGTATACTTTCATACAAAACAAAATAAGTAGGCATAAACAAACCTTATAAATGTATTTGTAAGTGATTTTTCCATTAGGTTACATTTTAAATTGCAAATTTTTAAATTTAACATGTAAAAGAGGGTACAGTTAAATGATCTGTAAGTTTTCTTAGGTATTTCTAATAGTATTTTTAGTATATTTTTGATGCTTGAATAATATGTTTCGAAACCCCAATGTGTAATAAGCTTGATAAAGAGACATTGTTTATATTGTATTGTGCCATAATGTATTGTTTATATCGATTTGGTAATTAAATATTAGAATATTTATTGAAACGACATTTAACTAACGTAGGTATACTTATTTCAACGATAATTGCACCACCTTTGAACACCATATCGTATGATGTTCATTTATATTTATAAATATATTATCTGCCATATAACTTTACATAAATATATATATGTATATGTACACATATTTATATATTTTAAGAAGGGAGAAGAAACGCATTAAGGCACACCGCAGGAGTAGCAGAAGTGTGGGACTCGGTAAAATTTTTTTTAAGGCCACCCATACCTACAAAAACCTCCCCATGCCACGTGGCTTTTGTTAAATCCTGGAAGTGTGTTAAGATTACTTCAGAGTTGAGCCACCATGAAGACCATCACGTCTCACTGCAAAAGCGAGCAAGCTTGCCACCATTTGCTAGAGGTGCCAATCCTCTTGAGTCCTGAAAAAAAGTTAGGGTCCCTAGGATCAGCACCCTGTCTGGCACTCCATAGTAAGCTGCTAACTAAGCAAGCGCCTTCATAAGCCCGATGCTTTTCGTTGCTGAAAAGTACAAGTACTTAGTGCAGCGTGGGTCCACACATCAGCCTATCTTCCTACTCAAGGCCATCTCGCCTTATTTGCGTCCTGGTTGGGCCTTTTTTTGGCCTCTTCTAGTGCTTTTCTAAATATAGGGCAGCTTCTACTGCCAGCTTCGCGATTGTTACTTGTCGTTGGATGTAGAAAACACCGTGCTATGCTGAAACACTCTCTTTTCCGGTGTATGAAGCTTCCACACTAGAAGCAAAGCTTAGACCTATCTTCTTATATATAAGCCAACGTCTGACCTACGGTGACCTTTACCGATGCTTCCGTCATCGCGTCTACTCTTTTCTACTGGCTTTTTCTGTCACTTTTGAGAACCTCTTCTTAACGGCCTGTGCCTATTCTTTTTCTAGGGAACATGACTAGCTGGTGTTTCTCAAGGCTGTCTGAAGGGCTCCTGTTTCTTTCAACTTGTTCTATTTCC